ACCGAATGGGGCAGCTGACATCCGGCACCGAGGAAAAAGCTAATCTCCAAGAGAGCAGGGCTGGGGGTCTTGGGGCGGTGACAGCGCGGCCCTGGGGCCCAGGGCAGTCGTGATCCACTGCCCACGCGGCGGGCGTGGGTGCCGCAGGCGGGAGGATCACGGCTCTGCCTCGGCCCAGCCCCGTGCTCGCACGGCCCCAAGAGCCTAGCACCAAACGCAGGCTCCCGCCCACCCGCAGCCCCATCACATTTGCCAGCCTCACGCCCTCCCCTTGCGGCTCCTGGCTGGTCTCCATGAAGTCTCTGGGATCGTGGGGAGGGTGACAGCAGAGGGCAGAGCCTCAGTTTTGTGGGCAGGGATGTGCAGGAAGAACATCGCGACTCTGCTCCGCCCCATGCTGGCACTGCCTCGCAATTCCGGGGTCTTCATGGAAGCCAGCTGGAAGCCACACAGGCAGAGAGCTGCATCCGGGGCCAGGATCTTGGCATTGTGACATCACGGGGCCAGGGCAGAGCTGCTATCCACTCCCCACACGCCTCTGCCCATGGAACTGGCACCCATCAGGGGTGTGTGGGCACTGGATTACAGCTCTGCCCTGGGCCCCATGCCCCTGCCCTCTGAGCCCAGCCTTGCCCGCCCATCCCGCTCCCAAACACTGCTCCCCACCCACCCGCAGCCTGATCCCACATAGGGAGTTTTGGTGAGCTGTTGAGGATGGGGGAGGGCAGAGATGTAGATTTTCCAGAACATTTTCCAATGGCCTAAATAGAGCATCTCATTTAGCATGTTTATCTGACTTATATTCAGTAAATAAAATTTTAAAAGTACCCCATGTTAAGTTTATGTCCCAATAACCACAAGTATTTGAACTGAAATATTTGATTAGGAAAAAAAATAAAATACAGTACACTTAATGTGATTTAAATGTTATATTCAAACAAATTCAAATCTTTATGTGGAAATAAATTATTTTTTATTGGAATACTTGTAAAAAAGTAAAGACAATACACAAAGTACTTCCCTTACATTGTTTGTTTAAATTTAAGAAAAAAAAGGCACTGAAAACTGTTGACACACTAATTTTAGCACACCTAAAGAACTGTCCATGATACAGTGTGATTGTCCACTCATCTACTTCTTCCTGCCTTCAGTGGCTTGAACTTCACTATAATCTTGCCACAAGCTGGGGGGGGGCGGGGGGTTCTGATTAGGCATTATTATTACTACTTCAAACTGTCACAACCCAGTGATTTTGGTGCCTCGGCACGGTGGAATTTTCCCGCCACATGAGAGCCTCTTGCAAAAGTAAAGGTTTTCTGTTGCAGCAGAAAACCCCCGGTGCAAGAGAGTTCCCGCCATTCGACTGCAAATTTGTGTCCCGCTATTGGCCAGTTCTAAATTATTCACACGTGG